TTAAAAATACTTAATAAATAATTTTTCAAACAAGTTTAACTAATATATCGCGTTTTAAACCGTTAAAGTGTTTTATTTACATGTGTATTACTCGCGTAAACTACAGACACGCTACACGACACACAGTTGTCTATATATTTTTACTAAATATGGAGGTGTTTATAAATGTAAAATTAAAAAGTCATAGAGACCGCATTTAATGGCGCGAACTAATCTCTAAGAATAATTAATAAAAAAATAACTTCAAGATCCTTATTAGAACGATACAGACGTTTGCGAACGACCTGAGTACATCGTTACATATTGATAACTATTGAGGTGAAGGCTATCGGTAGCCTATTTGCAAAGTATTATACTATTTGGTTTCATCCGTTCACCAATATTGTACTAAAGCGCCACACTTAGTTTGTGCTGTGGCGTTATCTTAAGCTTGGATTAATTCTCTTATTATTTAATCTGGTTTCTAAATATTTGGCGCAATTAAGTAGGTGCTCTTGATTTGAAAACGTAAAGTCCTATGTAATCTAAGAATTAAATTATACAATTCATTTAAAGTGTATTTAGATCGACGCGATCGGGTGTTGAACCGGCATCCACGGCGTTTCGTGCTTCTCTAACCAATTAGCGTCAAGGTTATAATAACAGCGAGAGAAAGTGCATCTATCAAGCGAACCGATGCCGGTTCAAGGCACGGTCGTGTCATCAATGTCTTTCAATACGACTAGATTTTTAATTTATAATATATACACGTGCAATATTATTTGAAAATATGAAAGATCCTTTGTTTATAGTATTTGCTTACTACCTCCTAAGGATTATCTGTACTCAGTTAGTGTAAATATTTAATAGATAGCGCTAGTTTTTTTGTCATATTTTTGTCTTTGACATTAGCACCGTCCTCCATCTTAAGTGCACGAAAGTCGTGGTGTTGAATTTCGATACACATTTAATATCAATTCTTTTATACAAAGTCCAACATGTTTCAGAACAAATATATATATTTTTTTAAAGTTGGCATTGGAGGGGATCGTACCCTCCGCGAATAACGTTCAGTTGTCTAATCACAAACACTATTTCTTAAATATAATTTCTTGTGTTATTTTTAATTCAAAATTGTACTTTTTTAACGTGAATTAAAAACAATGTCAAAAAGTAACTAAAACATTTGAAAATAGTTTAAATAAAGTTAGATGCGCATGAGTTTCCGTTGTTGAATCGGGTTATCGCATATTTGTGTGGGTAAGTTTAAACGGCGATGTAGTCTCTGCATATTTGCATACAATTAGGCCAATGACCTTCCTGGATTTCAACCAGTGTAACTAAACGGGGTTTATTGCACAAGAAGAGAAGAAAGAAGTAAATTGTGGAAAAAGGGGGGAAATTATACATATTCGAGGGTTACAGTTGCGTGCTTTGCGAAAACGGTTTGTGCGAAAAACGAACACATATCTGTGTTTGTTTCACTAATCGGTTTTATGTACAGGCCAGTAGTTGATTAGACTCTTGTGCCTCGCTCGACCGAAACAATTTATTGTTTCCCCGGGGTTCGAACCAGAACTTGTCGGGCTTAATTCAATGCATAGGCAACACGTCAACGAGAAAACACCAAAAACACGTTAAGATACCAAAAAATATGTATGAATGAATTAAAAATCTAAAACTATGTCCACGACGGTATTTGTCCGTCTTTTAAAGTTAACAAGGACCGCATTTAATGAAAATCAAATTTCGTCGAAGTACAACACAGCTAGTGTGCATTTACGAGTAAAATTTTATAAAAATCGGTCGAGCCGTTTCGGAACAATATTAGTATTGTGTGAAATTTACACGAGTAGTGTACATCTAATACAGCACATTTAATGGGTCGCATGAATTTACATACATTTTGCGTTTTAAACCGTTAAGTATTTTATTTAAAACTAATATAGTAAAAAAACACGAGGACACTAGTTTTTTTTATGATAGAGGAGGACAAAGCTTAGAGAGAAAGGGGGAGGGAAAGAGGAAAGAGGTAGGTGAACTTATGCACTAGATGGTAGGTGAAACATTCCAGCTATATAACATCCAGACAAGAGGCGTCGACCTATTTGGCTTTGGATATTCGGAAATCCACAGACTGAAACCGGAACGCGATTAAAGTTGACGACTTTTTTTTCTGTAGACGATGCCTTGGGTGAAATTTCAATTCCTAACTATAGTTATAAATTCTAATATGTGAGATTTAACTGAGGTCATGGCTACAAACAGTTGTTAGTTTTAACTAGATGACTTACCTGACTTAGGTCAGTCAGTAGTTTTTCAAGGTTTGCGGAAACACAAAACATTGGAGTCAACGACTCACGGGTTATTGTCCCTTAATACTTACGTAATGTTTTGCTATTACTTTAAGTACAGACGATAAAAAAACACTTTTCAACCGGTTCGTATCGTGAGAAATATGATTGAAATATAAGACGAAATTAATTCAGCAAAAAATAATAATAACGGTTTTAAACGCGATACTTGTCAACCTAACTCTAATTCAATTTGATGAATTTGTGAGTACTTTAAGTCTACAATGTACGCGAGTAATACACTTTTAAATGAAACACTTTTGACGGTTTAAAACGCGAAATCTATTAGTTCTTTTGGACGTTGAATATTTACTTTTGCAAACTCCTTTTTTTATCTTTATAACCTACCCATGACGTCGGTCACGTCCCATCGTTCGTGCAAGTTAATCTTGAAAGGCAATTTTCGCAACCCACATGTCCCACAGATATTTTCCCCGCTTTTTTCCACATTTCCCTTCGTTTCTTCCTTGATAAATGTTCCATCCAACGCAAAAAATATTTTTCAATTGGAACCAGTAGTTTCTGAGATCAGCGCGTTCAAACGATCCTTTCAGCTTGATATTATTAATATTCTAATATCAATTGAGGAACGCGAGTGTCATCTTTATAACATCTATCCCTGCAGGCAGGTGGTGTGAAAGTCAAATCCCGGTACCCCTCGTGGGGCATGGCGCGAACACATTTCTATCTCTGTTACACTGATCCGTTCTTTAACAGGCAAGTAGTGGATCACAATTCTGTGCCGTGCCCGTCCGAAACAGCCGTTCTTGTTTCCCCGGGATTCGAACCCAGGACCTCTCACGCTTAACGCAATGCGTTTAACCACTTGGCTACAGAGGCGGTTAGCGACGGCAGCAGTTAAAGCCTCTCAATAGCGTGGTGAGGCCTACGCGATAGGATACCAGTGCCCAACTGTGGGACATTGTACGACATATAAAAAATATCTTTTTGTATATCGTAAGGGAATGCATCGCTAAATATAGCGCGTCCCACGTATCTGAGCTATTAATTGATGTCTCAAGTGAGCTATTATTACGCTGTGACGTACATACAACTCTAGTACTATGAATTAATAGTATTTTAACTTTATACGCATTATATAGGCCGCTAGAGTTAGAGTGGCCCAACTGCAATTTTATGATTTGACCTATTTATATTTTCTCCAAGAGCACAGTGACCGAAAATTGTAAACATAATTCTTACACAAATAATAGTACAAATTCATTTTCGCCTAAGTTAATTGCGCATTTTTATTTTTCTTCTTATTGAAAATCATGTGTTTTGTTATTAGGCCACTCTGCTTTTAACCGCCTCATATATACAATGTTTTCAAATAATCGCTATATCCTATAATTCCTCGAATTGCGAAGTCTCGTTCGTTTCCGAGTCGTATATTTTAAAGACGATTTCTATGTTCGACGGAACAGATGGCGCTCTAGCGTAGCAATTTTTTACTTTGACGTCAAAGACATCCTCCATCATTAGTCACCCCGTGACCACGGCTGCTGCAAAGCTCCGAAACGTCTGGCCGAAGTTAAAAATCATTTTCAAATAAGTTAAAGCTCTGCGTTTTAAACCGTTGAACAATCCGGCCGGTTAAAGTTCAGACATAAAAAAATCTATTTTGGTCCAAATAAATTAAAGTTTTGGCCTTGAGGGCAAGATATTTTAGCAGCTATTTTATCGGTTGAATAGTCTATAATATTGAAAAAAAATAAACAATAAATATAAAATTGGCCGGTGGTTCAGCGGCGGTTTATCTTTTACTACATAATTTAGACAGCATTGTATAATTTATTATCAACGCAATTATACGCCCCAAAAAGATGGCATAATTAGATTTATCATTATAAAAGATATGAAAAGCGAGGACTTGCGAATTTTCTTTTTTTTTTAATGTGCAAGAATTTAAGTCAGTATCTCTTATATTTGTAGTCTGCACTTTTTTTTACATAGAGTTAAAAAGATTTTCACGAATATCTAAGTTTCCGTACTGTACTGAAAGTTGGAAAAAAGAAACACCAAACCTAAACACTTTATTGGAATATTTTTGCACTTATATATATTCCGTACCAAAAGTGGTACAATGGAACGCAATTACTAAGACGCTGTCTGTCTATCTGATGTTAACTGTATTTCAAGAATTGCGACAGTTTAACTTTTCAATTTACTTGTCGCTGTAACAACGATTACTAAAAAATAATCAATGCAATATTATAAATTAAAAACTTTTTTCGATTTATCGTAATAGTTAAAACAATGACGACACCAGCGTGATGTAACTTCAATCGTAACACTCAGTTCTGAGGTTTAATATAATGTACGTACCTGAAATAACAAAAAAAATATATAAAACGCATTAGTTAATAGTACGGTACTCTTTGCGCAAGTGCCCGACACGTATTTGTTGATTATTTGTAAACATATACGGCCTTATTACAAAAAAATACTTAAACCTGTGGAGTCTTGGTTTAACTGTTAATCCATCGTCTAAATAAATCTAAGTACTACATAGTTAGTCCAGTACAAACGTTAAGCTTCGTTTTGTAATAAGGATTTCAATTAAAACAGGTTTAAACCAGGTTTGTATTAAGCCCTTTTTAGTAATAAGAGTAATAGAATATAAAGACAACGAAGAGGTTATTTATAAATATTTATAATTTTCAGATGTATGGTCGCTACCAGCGCGACCTCAGCGAAGCGGCAAGAGAAGAAGCGAGACGACTCAGACGATTACGAAAGAAGAGAAGAAAAGATGACAAGGCGAGACAGAAAGAGCTAGAAGCTACAGGCAAGCTTAGACCGAGGGGGAAGTTTTTTAAAGTGATCGGTAAGTATATAAACCATTTTGTGAGGATCGATTCTTCTCATGTGTTTAAGTCCAATATGTGCTAATATTCTGCTATCTATTCTTCTTATTAATTGTAAATGATTCTTGAGAGAGTAGGTAAACCGTTAATTGGCAATAAGTAAGTTAATGCAATCCGTAGTATTACTTATTCGCTAATGTACGTCTTTGATCTCTCTGCCACTTAGTTAGAGTGTCGTGTGAAAAAAAAGATATCTGAAACAACTATTTGTATATTGAAATAACTGTTCAAAACGCGACACATATAAGTTTCTTTATTATAATGTATTTTATTTCACCACGTTACAGCAGCCTCACATGAATCGAAACGTCGGGTTTAAAGAATAAATGTTGAAAAAACCCTACTAATATGTTTCTCGCCTTAAACTGTTACAATATTTAATTAATAAACATATTGTACACGCCTAAATTACAGACGATACAACTTATATTATTGTATATAAATTTTATGTCATTTCAAAGAAAATGTTTGCCAACTCAGTCAGCGTTACAGATTACAAAAAAATCGATTGAAAACTTTAACATTATTCACATTTTATTGCACATGTTGGCACTATATAAATTAAAAATGTATTATACAAAAAAAATGATACAGGCAAGTCTTGAGCCAGCATCCACAGCGTTCCGTGCTGTAAATGTTCCTATAATCGATTTTCAATTTATACACGACGGATCTTGCTGCTACGGTCTTGTAAAGATCGCCTTTTAATAAATAAATGATGTAAAGTTTTTGACAGGCTACCTATGGAGGCACTCCTTTGCAAGGCTGGGTGAAGACTGGTTCTTCTTAGCAGCGCTGGGTATTATTATGGGTTGCCTAAACTTCGCGATCGACCAGGGTATCGCTGTTTGTAACAATGGTAAGGGTTATTTTTTATTTAACATTTAAACAGAGAAAAATAAACTCGTTTGTGATTGGTTCAGATAGGTCTGTGTCGTTAACGAAAAATTTCTCTGATTTCTGATTTTTATTTTTAATTCTCATTCAGTAGATTTTGTTGTAGAAACCTGCGGGAGTTTTGAAAATAGTTAATTATATAGATTACCCGCCTGTGCCGCCATCTTGTAAAATGGCGTCGAATACAGTTTCTGTGAAAGTATTTCCTTCTTAGCATTTTACGATAAAAATATAGATAATGCAGCATACCTAAGTAGTAAACTTAAGAAAATTGTAAATTAATGACTATTCTCATTTACTTTTCTGCCACGCTTTCAAAGGGACGTAAGGTAAGCAAAATAATATCTTGTTGAAGGTTGCAAAAATAAGTGCGTGTCCCTGGACGTCCAACAAAGGTGATATTTTGTATCTTATTTAAAATTATTGTTTGATCAAGGAAGACAGATAAGCATTGGGTTCACGTCAAGATGCTCTGTCGACCTATTATAGCTTTGGATATCCGGAAATCCACAGATTGAAACCGAAACGCGATTAAACTGGACGGCCTTTTAATTTGTGGATAGTGGTTCGTGATCTTGACGAAATCCAACATGTTTCAGAAAAATTATAAATTGATAAGAAAAATATTGGATCTCGTAAGGATCGAATATTTTTCTTATCAATTTATAATTTTTCCGCGACCCGTAACCATATATTGCTACGATTACCCCAACGAGCCCGAGAACATTAGGCACTTGTATTGTGTGTTTGCGCTCTTGTTTAATTATTCAAAGGCACAGAACCCGCCGTGCGTAAATATTATTTGTATTTGGAAAGTTTATTTATTTTTTGGTTTAAAAAAAAAGGGTCTTTACAGCTCGAACATGGATGTACAATGACGTAGCTACATCGATAGCTGGGAAGTACTTCGCCTGGGTGTCGTTGCCTGTTTGTTTGATATTATTTGCTGCTGGTTTCGTGCATATTGTTGCTGCGCAGAGTATAGGTAAGTCTTTATAACATAAAAGCCTTTATAATTAAGGGGTATAAATAACTCTGACGGCCTCTGTAGCTATATAGCTGTATATGGTGCGTTCAGAGCGAAGGGTCAAGGATCGAATCCCTGGGGAATCATAGATTGTTTCCGTCGGGCAGGACACAGAAGTCTGATCAATTACTTGGCAATTTCTTCCAGGCAACCTTTGCATGTAGAAATAAAAAAAGAAAACTACAGTAAAAAAGTAAATGTCGGGAAGGTATGTTGGGAAGCATTAGACAGTTAAATGTGATTCATTATAAAGCCAGTGAGGCCGATCAATTAGTATTCAAGTAGTCGTTCAAATATTTAGAGAAAAAAACATTATTTTGTGCTTTCTGGTGCTGTAGAGAAAAACGTATTTTGTAGCATTTCTTTTTGAGATGCAAAGTTAAAAGATTTCCACCTCTTCTTTTTTGCTCGTTCTCGTTTATCTTATTTCCTCTTTGTTAACTACAGGTTCCGGTATCCCCGAAATGAAGACAATCCTTCGTGGTGTCCACCTGAAGGAGTATCTGACGTTTCGCGCTCTGGTTTCGAAGTGTGTCGGTCTGACTGCGACACTTGGTTCTGGTCTTCCATTAGGGAAAGAGGTAACATCGGTTTACAATATTAATATTATAAACAAAGGTTCCCTCTATTATATAAAGAGAGTTGAAGATCTTATCAAGAACGCTGATCCAATGGTGATGTTATACTCTATCGATGATGATCGGTAGCTTAATATCCTCTCAGAGGCACGGGTGTCGTGCCAAGTACAACAAAGTTTACTTTCCAAATACGGTACTAACATTTGGCTCCACCCAGATATTCCATTTTTTTGTGATAGAGAAAGAGAGACAAGCGTGAGGCCACTTGGTCGAAGATGAACCATGTCAATATTATTGGATATGGTTGAAATCCACAGACTACCGAAACGCGATTATACTTTGCACTTTTTCAACTGTGCTCGGTAATTCGTACTCAGACGGACTTTAGATCTTCTTACAACCCATTTACTAAAGATTCTCCAGACGAAATCTAATATATTCTAAAAGGATTATAATTTTTTTAGAACATGTGATCCGATCTCTTTATTATTTTTTACATTACCATTAAACAAGTAGTCAATCAACAACGTCTCGCTAATGATTTCAGGGTCCTTCCGTCCACATTGCTTCCATGGTTGCAGCTCTCCTTTCGAAGTTAGTCACGAAGATCCAGGGCGTGTATGAGAACGAGTCACGAACCACAGACATGTTGGCAGCCGCATGCGCAGTGGGTGTTGCTTCGTGCTTCGCTGCGCCAGTTGGTGGTAAGATTGGTCTTCTTTTTTCATTGTCCTAGGTGGAGGGAATCCAGAAAGAATATCATAACTGGCTCGATGGTCCAGTGGTAGCCTTGTATGTGTTAATGTATGGCTAATGATTACGGGTCGTGGATTTGATTTCCACCTCGTCCTACTAATAACGTCTGTGAAACATGTTTTGACTACGTCTGGAAAGTCTCGACTTTTAATGGGTGGTGGATATATGAAAATTCTTTTTAAAGTTATAAATGGAAATAGATAAAATCGTAAAGTGTGATCGCGTTTCAGTCCTGCAACCGAAAAAACTTTTTGGTCAACAATTCTCAGGTGATCGGCGTTTTGTGTTGGTAGTCAGTAGAGGGTAAGAACCCTCCCAGTATCTCGAAAAACTTAAGACACAAAAAAGGTTTTTTTTTTAAGAAAAACATTTACATAGTGTGTATTCTTGTTGACGTGAGTTGTACACATTTAAAATACACAATTTAACAGTTTAAAATGTGAAATATATATTAGTCATTTGATTTCCCGGCGTTTCTGTTGCCCAGCAGCAGTCTTGCGTGGTTCATATAGAAGTTAACTTAACATATGTCGCGTTTTAAACCGTTTAAAGTCTTATTAACTAACGTACGTTATATAATATCGATAAAGTTAATTAGTGGAACGCATAAACGCGGCCTTGTTCATTATAGCGAAGCCAGATCTGTCCAGATAAATCTGTGCAGATCCGCACTTCCTTCTCTAATTAATATCTTCATTATGTACTTGTTATAACTATAAACATTTTATGCTGTTGGTATATGACTCGTTACTTCGTAATAAAATTGTAATCGTCTGTAGTTTTCGCGAGTACGCATTTAAATAAAAGGCTTTAAAGGGTCAAAACGCGATGTATCCTACCATCCGAGGTCACGGTAGACACCCAAGCATTAGAAACGTCGAGCCGTAGTTAAAAATAATTTCTAAATAAGTTTAACAAATATACGTTTTAAACCGATAAACTCTTTTACATAAAAGTGTGCTACTTGCGTAACCTACAGACAGCATAGATTTTGAACGGTTTAAAACACGAAATTATTTAACTTATTTCAAATTTGTTATGGCGTTTGGTCTGTCCGTGGTCACGGATGCTAGAAAGTTACGAAACGTTGGCTCATAGTGAAGATAAAAATATTAAATAAGTTAACCAATATATTCCGCTATTTAAGACTTAATATTATTATTTTTGATTACAAACAAAAGATCATTGCTTGACAATTTATATATTGCTTATAAACATGTTGGTCCCGGTAGGGATCGAACCCGACCCTTTGATTATTAGCCATGGATAGCTACTATAAGACCAACGACCTCGTAAAAACTATTTAAAGTCGTGCTCATGTCGTAAATCGTTTTCAATTCAAATAGATTTTTAATTTATATAACTATACACTGTCTGTGTTTACGCTAGTAGTACACATTTAAATAAAACACTAACGATTTAAAACGTGATATATATTCGTTAAAATTATTTTAACTACGGCCCGACGTTTCAAAAGCTTTGCAGCAGCCGTGGTCACAGGGAGACTAAAGATGGAGGGTGTCGCCATTTTAAAAATATAAAAAAAAATTTAAACAGATATATATCGTGTTTTATGGTAACATTTTAAAATTATATAAGTGTCCTTACATTTTCTTTTAGGTGTACTCTTCTCAATTGAAGTAACAACAACTTACTTTGCTGTTCGTAATTACTGGCGAGGCTTCTTTGCGGCCTGCTGCAGTGCTATTGTGAGTAGACTATTGTTTAAGAGTTTTTTGTTTGAACGCGCTAATCTCAGGAACTACTGTTTCGAATCGATTTTTTGTTTATTTTGGTTAGAGCATTTATCTAGGAATGTTTTCTGTTACATACATCACGCTGCATAGAGCGAGGAAACTGGGATATGTGAAGAAAACGGGGAAAATTATTCATGTATGATAAGGATCTGGTTTTAGATAAAACAAAGTTTTTGTCCCCATTTCGCATATTGTCCCACAGACAAACAAGCTATAATTTTTTTTTTTTAGATTAAATTAATGTATGACATGGAGGGGGGGGGGGTTCGAACCCTTTGTTAAATCCCATACGTATCATAATGTTTAGCAATCTAGAGTAAAATTTAATTCATAATAAGTTTGTGAAAATGTTTACCACCCCTGTTGCTAAATGAATTGCCTTAAGGCATTGGAAACCGTGAGAGGTCCTGGGTTCAGATCCCGTCCCTGGGGACCCGAGGTTTTGATGTGCGATGATAAATGCTTTAATTTTTTATTTATTCATCTAAAACCTGCTTTCAGATGTTCCGTTTATTATCTGTATGGTCTGGTGCAACGCCGACCGTGAAGCCACTCTTCCCTACCAGTCTACCTCAAGATTTTCCCTTCGATCCTCAGGAGTTTGCCGTCTTTGTACTATTGGGGTATATACTTAACATTGAAGATATTATAATTAAGTAAAGTCTCTTGTAAATGAAAAGATTTTAACGGTTTAAAACTGACACTTATTGGTCTAGTGCTCAAAAAACTTACTTACAAATTAGGCGTACGGTCAAGTGTCGGGTCAAGCTAAAGCTTAGTTCAGTATTTTTTCTTTAATAGTTTCCCGTACCAGTCAAGTCACTTAAGGTATTTGGTACAAGTTCGAGTCTCGGGCGTTTCATTTTGTTTTAGGATAGAGGTGTACAAACAAGCATGGGGATACACTAGATGAGAGGTAAAATACCCCAGTACTATTACATTTCAACAATATGCGATGTCAACCTATTTTTGGCTTTGGATATTCGGAAATCCAAATTGAAACCGGAACGCGATTAAACTTCACGTCTTATCCATCTGTGGGCAGTGGTGCGTGACTCAGACGGAACTTAGATTTTCCTAATATCCAGATTTCCAGACGAAGGCCATTATGTTAAAAAAAAATATAAATTGCTTAGGAAAATGTTGGACCCGGTGAAGGACGAAGTCACGACCCGTTGATTATTACGCATATATATCTACCGTAAGACTAACGAGCGCGTTAATTTTTTTTTCAGAATTGTTTGTGGTCTCATGTCAGCTCTATGGGTGTGGCTTCATAGACAGTACGTACTCTTCATTCGGAACACCAAGTACTTGAGTACGTTTCTACAAAAGAAGTGAGTAATCGAACCTCGAAAACACTAGCTTTGTTTGATTACAATAAAAACGGTTTTTCGGAGTTAATTTTTACAGATAGACATACATCGGACATTCCTTTAGACCATTCAATGATGAATTATTCTTTCGTACATATTTTTTGGGTTTTTTTAACAGTTTTCGCACTAAGAATTTTCCCCTTTTTTCCACTTTTTTAGTGAAAAATTGGAAAACATTGGTCACAGTGTGATGTTTTATAGCGTAAAGCCTTCCCCGATTCTAACCAGCAAATAATTGTTCTATTCGAACCAGTAGTTCCCGAGATTAGCGCGTTCAAACAAACTATTTAGCTTAATAATATTAGTATTCATAAAGGCTGTGAAGGGTTGATATTGAACCCCGCCTGACTTAAACAATTCATAATATTATCCCCTGGATTCGAATCTAGTACCTAATAGTACTTGTGGTTTAAGACTAATGTTTGTTATAGTCGTTTCATCTACCCTGGCTTCATGACGTTGGCTGTGATGTCCATCCTCTTCCCACCAGGTATAGGGAAGTACATGGCTGGAGGGCTTGGTACACCACCACAGGTAACATAAACATACATTTTTTTTGCGCGAGGTGTGCACGTATCGATAGGTTGAAAAAAAATCGACTAAGACGTGTAGGAATAGCTTAATTGGATAGAGTAACGGCACGGAATGCTGTCGATGCGGGTTCAAGTCCTGCCCGCGTCTCTTGCCTTGTGCATGGAATACACTTCTGTGTCTGCTTGACTATTTTTTATTGACGAACTCTTTAGTCTAATGGTAGCAATATCGTAACCAAAGGGGCCTCGCGGGTTCGATTCCCACCAGTTCCCACCCATTATGACATGCTTCTAGAATTAATATTTTTTCTCTTTAATCGTCTAGACTTCTTCTGGAAAGTCTCGATATAAAATTGAGTAGGGTCGAAATTATACGAGTCGCGGATTTCAGTCTATGGATTTGGAGATTTCTATAGCCACAGGTCGATAGCGCGCCATTAGATATTAAATTTGTTCACCTTCCATCACCTGAACCTATGCTGCAAGTTGATCATACTTCCATGACCAGGTATCAGCGCTGTTCTCCAACTTTACCTGGTCAGACGAGCTAACAGCGGAACAGGCGGCCATCGTATCCAATTGGCAGACGGATGAAGTTGATCATTTCGGATGTCTCATCATTTATTTCTTCTCTATCGTAAGTCGCATCTACCTTACTATATTATTCCTACTTAAAAAAAAATTTAGGAAAAAAGGGGGGGGTGGGGGTTTAGGGGGGCCCACGTCGGGCCGTACTTAAATTAAATTAAACATAAGTTAAATATTTCGCGTTAATTGTTTTATTTATTTAAAACCTCTAAAAAATTTGGCTGATTTTTAATGAAACTTTAGTATTACTTTTTTTTTAAACTATTTTACCTTTGAAAACTTTATTATTTTTTACATGTTATTGCACATGAAGGCACTATATAATTTAAAAATTGAAAAAAAAATTCGACTCGGGCAGGACTTGAACCGGCATCGTCAGCGTACCGTGCTGTTGCTCTACCATGACTCGGTAGCTCAATTGGTAGAGGAACGCTGACGATGCCGGTTCAAGTCCTGTCCGAGCCGAACATTTTTTCAACTTATTTTTCGTTTTTTAACTATTTTAGCTTTTTCTTGCGTAAACACTTTGATATCTTATCTAATCTATGATGTAGCTAAACATGGAATGTTTCTAATAATTAAAAACAATACCGACGAGGATGGGATTCGAACCCACGCGTGCAGAGCACATTGGATTAGCAGTCCAACGCCTTAACCACTCGGCCACCTCGTCATATAAATTACATTTAAAACGAAGTAAAATTCTCAGGCAATCGAGTCTCGGTACAGTTAATTTGAACAATTGTTTCGCTGCAGTCGTAAAATGATTTGTTTTTTTTTTTTGGGGGGGGGGGGTTTTTTTTTTTTTTTTTTTTAAAATTTTTTATGGGTGAAAAAGGGGTTTTTTTTTTTTGGGGGGGTTTTGGGGGGGGGGGGGGGGCCCCCCGGGGCCGCGGGCGCGGAAAAGCTTCCGAAACGTCGGGCCGAGTTATTATGAGTTTAACTTATCGTGTTGACCGTTAAAGTGCTTTATTTCAAAGTGTGCTACTCGCGTAAACTATAGACAGTATTTTTCCTATTCTAATTATATTCAAATTAGAAAAAAAATACGGGCTCGTTGTCACGGGTCAAGGATTCGATCCCCACCGAGTCCAACATTACCCTTATTAATTGATTTATAATTTTTCTGAAACATGATAAACTTGGTCGAGGAAATCTAAATATTAAATGGATGGTGGGGAAATGAAAATTCCGTCCGGGTCACGTGAGAAATTAGGTCTATATAATGTCCTAGAGGTCCTAGCGTTATTTTTGTATAAATAACCTGAGACAAATACCTTGGCGATCTCTTTAATAAAAAATATTTAAGATTTTAAAACACAGATACGTTGCAGTGCTACCATTTTTAAACGAATCACGATCTGACTTGCTGCGAGTAGTAAACATTTAAATAAAACGCTTCAACGGTTTCAAACACGATTTATATTAGTTAGTTAGGGAGACAATTTCCCCGTGACCTCCGCTGCTGCAAAGCATCCGAAACGTTGGGCCGTAGATAAAATCATTTTCAAAAAAGTTCAACTAATATATATCGCGTTTTAAACCGTTACAGTGTTTTATTCAAATGAGAATAATAAACGTAATTTGTCTGTTTTTTTTAGTATTTCCTGAGTATGGTGTCCTGTACTCTGCCGGTCCCGGCTGGTATTTTCGTCCCAGCTTTCAAGATGGGCGCCTCTCTTGGACGGTTCACTGGAGAAGTGATGCACTACTTCTGTCCATTAGGAGTGGCGTATGGTGGAAAAATCCAGAAGATCTTACCTGGTGAGGTCTAATGAGTAAACTATTATTTAATGTCTATTATTGTATTTTTATGACAGACCGAGGCGCCGAAGCCTGAGGTTTACTTGATGGAAGGTGTCCAAGCTGTATAGGTTGACGGCATACCTAAACCCATATAGCTAAAACCCTATATAGCTCAAATATTTTGGCTTTGCAATTTCGAAAATCAACACACTGAATAAGATTAGATTTCAAAACGTATCAACATTGGTTCGTGATTTCTCTAGATAAGTCCATCGTGTTTCAGAAAAAAATATAAATTTGTTAGACCCCCGTGGCAATCTAACTTACCCCTTGATTATTTTTGCAACAAACAGCATTTCGTCATCATCACTCGTCATCAGTGATGTCCTATGGATGATATATATATATCGTATACTTAGACAAATTTTACCTTTCAGGTGGATACGCCACGGTGGGTGCTGCGGCGTTCACAGGTGCTGTCACCCACACAGTGTCTACTATTGTCATTATTATCGAGATGACTGGGCAGGTAATAAAAGGACAGAATTTATATAAATTAAAAAAAAATACGACACGGGCAGGTCTTGAAGCGGCATCTACAGTGTTCCGTGCTGTTGCTCTAACCAGTACTTACTTTAACGATACGATAGCTCAATTGGAGTAAGTTGGAGCTGAACGGAACTGCCCGTGTCGTAATTTTCTTAATGTCATGCGCAATAACATGTGAAAAATATACTAGATGTTTCTCATTTAAATAAAACACTTTAACGGTTTAAAACGCGATATATTAGTTAAACATATTTGAAAATGATTTTTAACTTCGGCCCGACGTTTCGGATGCAAAAAAGCAGATAGCAGTAAGTAAAAATCATTTCCAAATAAGTTTAACTAATATATCGCGTTTTAAACCGTTAAAGTGTTTTATTTAAATGTGTACTACTCGCGTAAACTATAGACAGTACTTAGATGTTTCTCATTAATCCAGGTCCCGCTAAATCATGTTTTATTTTTTGTCTAAGCTATAAAGTAATTCACAATGAGTCAATAAACCGAAAATAAAGATTACAATGAATTAGGAAAACAATGTGCTTCGTTCGACTTATTTATGTCCCACTGTTGGGCACTAGTTGACTCTGTCTGTTTGACCCGCCACTCTTCTTCTTCCAAGCAATCTATAGTTGACAAAGGCATCAAAATCTATACTTATACAGATAACACATCTCCTACCCATAATGGCCGCTGTGCTAGCTGCAAATGCTGTAGCAGCGATGCTGCAGCCTTCTTGCTTCGACAGCATTATTCTGATCAAGAAACTGCCATATTTGCCTGATCTCCTCTCTTCAGCTAGCCGTAAGTATTAAAAAAATATTTAGATGTAAAGAAGAATAGTACTTTCTTTAGCTTAGGCGAGTAGTACACATTTGAACACTTTTGACGGTTTAAAACGCGAAATATATAAGTTCGGATGCTTTGCAGTCTCCCAGTGATCACAGATGCATCCAAAATGTCGGATCGTAGTTTAAGTCGATCACATGCAAGTTTAACTAATATCTTTCGCGTTTAAGCCCGTTTTATGTTAAAGAAAATTATTTTGCTAATGTTTCGAGCTGCTTGAGACTGACTGTCAGTGTTTGCGTAGTTCAGGAATGCTAAGTATCCCATCCATCGCTCAATACTCAGTATAAAAAACCTTAAATAGGTTATAGAATATGTTTACGTCGCAGCCATCTTGAATTACAAAATAAAATCGAAATATTGCAAAATATTTAAGCGCTATTTCCTTTATATTAGGGTACATTATATTTTAATAACATTAGAAAATGGTCTAATTATACCAAGAATATTTTAATAAAAACAACCGACGAGGATGGGATTCGAACCCACGCGTGCAGAGCACATTGGATTAGCAGTCCAACGCCTTAACCACTCGGCCACCTCGTCATATACGCGTTGTCTCTAATAGGTATATATTTTCATTATAGTTATATGCATATATAATGTATAAAACATTTACGGGTCGTCGGCCTGTGAAAGTAAGGTAATATAATAATAAGGGTCGTTCCTCAGAGCACATATCAAATCAATTTATAACTTTTCTGAAACATGTTGGAGTTCGTCTGGACATCTGGATATTAAATGGATGGTAGGAATGTCGAAATTCTGTCCTGGTCACGAACCACCAGCCACAGATTAAGTAAAGTTTAATTGTGTTTAGGTTTCACTTTGTGCGCTTGCACATATCCAAAATAGGTCGACAGCGCATGTTGTTGAGATTTTATGTTGCCGGGCTATTTTACTTATCTTACCATGGGTGAACTCCATGTTTGCCTGTCATCCTCTAGTAAAAACATATTTATAACATAAATATGTTATTATATATGCATGTCCTTAACACATATTTTTTTAATCACTAACTAAAACTAATATTTTCATGAACTAAAGCCAATTTCTTCCAATTAACAGTGGGAAAACATGTGAAGTAGTTTTGTTCTATAACGTACACATACATACAGAACAAAGCTTGGAAATTGACTCGGATTCTGCTACCTAACGTTATTGTAATCCACTCTCATGAAATTTTTATTCTGTAAGGATGTGTTTATTAATAAATAAACATGGATCGCGAGAAAATGTATATTTTGTATTTAAAACAGTTTTATCAGGCTCAAAGCGGTTGGTTCTGACGTATCCTTGTTTTGTATGTTTTTTTGTAAATTTGTGCTCTAACGAATATTAGCCATCGGCACTTGTTTGTTAGTTGTTTGATAACTGTGTCATCGTGACGTTACACGGGCAAATTTTATAGCAGGGGTGACCAACCTGTGTATTTTCTCCCCATGGTTTTGTGCCCCTAAGGGGAAACATAATTTTAAATTGTACCCGAGTTGCTAATAACAATAAATAAAGGAGTAATTCTTGACTTATAGATACAATTTTACTGCCCGAAAGCAATTTAAGATCGGAATGTAACGCAAAATAAACGTTGTGTTTTTCTTATAAAAAAAGAATTAGTATCTCTTGTGATTAAATACTGTCTATAGCGTATAGTCTATATATTTACGCGACTAGTACATATTTAAATAAAACACTTTAACGGTTTAAAACGCGATGTATTAGTTAAACTTATTTGAAAATGATTTTTAACTTCAAATAAGTTTAACTAATACATCGCGTTTTATACCGTTAAAGTGTTTTACTTAAGTCTCTTGTGATCTTATTGTTTTTAGCTGTTAAAATAAAACCCTTCTAACGGCTTAAGACGATAAATTGTTAGAATTTTTTTTAATATTCTGCACGTGATGGATGCCGGTTCAAGTCGTAAAAAAAAAAATGCATTTTAATTCGATATTAAATTATTTACTTTCTTCAGCGTCGTGTCATATGCTTTTAACTAATATATTTTGCGTTCAGCCCACGTTAAATGGTTTTAAGTTACACAACATTTCATATATCATACCCAGCTTGGTGACCCCTGACGTGACGTATATTCACACGTCTATAAACGCAAGGCTGTTTAGGATAGAATTAACGCCTTTTATTACAAATTAGCGTCTAATTACCGTGAAGATAATTGTTCTAAACACGGTAATACTGCGTCGCCGGTTAGGTCATTATGAACATCGTAAAAAATATATCTATGTAAATATATACCGCTATATGTTCTAAACGAATATTATATATGGTGTATATATATTGGTCTGGCGCCGTAGCAATGGTTGAATATGTTACCGTTGCGCATTGCGTTAAATATGAAATCCCGGTTTCGAATCCCGGGCAAACAACATAACGGAAATAAAATAAGATTATACATAAAGAAAATCGATTAGTGAAACGGACACAGATCTGTGTTTACCTCATGGCCCACAGATGATTCCATTATGTTGCGTTTTACAAATTTGCATCTCTTAACATTTATTTCTTTGTTTTATTTTATTTATTGTTATTTTGTGACAATAAAGAATATTTGTATTTGTCTTTACAACTGTAGTTATATAAATAAAACACTTTTAACGGTTTTAAACGTGAAAATAGTTTACTTTATTATAATAATTAACATTTTATAGGTATGTACGACATTTGCGTCGAAGACTTCATGGTGCGGGATGTGGTCTACATCTGGAATAGGATGACATTCCAGCAGTTGAAGGATATTCTCAAGAGTAATAAAGTTAGTACTTTAAAGTTTATTGTTCTGTTTCACATTAAGGAGGCCAGACTTTGGAAAGATTAAAAACACCTTAAGTTTATGTAAAACCCTTTGACGGTTTGAAACGCGATATATATTAGGTAAAGTTATTTGATTTTTTTTTAACGCCTGACGTTTCGGATGCTTTACAGCAGCCGTCGTTTTAACGGCTGCTAAATAAGTTAATCCTAATATATATTGCGTTTTAAACCGTTAAAGCGTTTTATTTAAATGTGCACTCGTGTAAACTAAAGACACCTTACGTTGGAAAGAAATGCTGCTGCGTTTGTCACCGGTTCAATTCCAGCTCTTTATTGACGTTGTCCATTTAAATGTCTGTGTTACATTCTTATGTTTACTTATAACTTCAGTAAATTAATTTTCTTTAAAGTTACAGCTGTTTTACATATTTCTTTTTTGTTTATTTATTTGTCTTTTTCGATATTCAAACAGACGATCAAGAGTTTCCCTCTAGTGGATAGTCCTTCATCCATGGTCCTTTTGGGTTCCATACATCGTTGGGAGCTAGTGAAGGTTATCGAACAGCAAGTGGGCAGATCTCGTAGGCTGCAAGTTGCCGCGCAATGGCTGAAGGAAGCCGAGAGAAGACGCGATGAGGAGAGGAAGAGGACCCGAAGACCTTCAAGATTTGAAGTAAGTTGCCTGATACACAATTTAGTACCTTTTTATTTGCTTTAATAAGATTTTACAAAGAAACCAGAAATCTTAAAGGGGATACAGTGAGAGATGTAAAACGCAATGTTCTCCATGAATAGGTAATGGGTGAACTGGTTAGCAGATAATGTGGTCTTCTATCGATGTCTCCAATAAAAAGTAATAATGATATTATTATTCTGTTAACAATATTAAATTAATAAATAAATACCAAAAGACTACGATTACTACAAGAGATTTAACATCGTCATAAATGTAACTTTTATTAAAATCTTAGAAAATTAAATGGTTGGTCTCAATTATCATGTTATTACCAGGTCACTCCAGCTCCAGATATGCTCCAAGTTCCTGGTAGCGGCATGACGAGAGGCACCTCACTAACATCGCAAGATCAAAGTGGCCTAATACCGGGTAAGATATCATAAGTCACTTTTAAAACTACCCTCATTTACAAAATATAAATGTCTCTATAAAACCGGAGGGCAAGTGTCAGAATATACACAATACTCGGTTCATGATAGATATCGAACTCGCGACCTCGAGGATTAATAGTCTATATATAATTATTATTTCAGCCCCAGGCCAGCTGTTCCGACCGAAGTCGATCCTTAAGAAGACGAACTCATTCACACTGACCCGTGGTCTAGCCCCACCTACGCCACAATCCCCAATGCCACACCCCTCTGTCTACACCACGGTTACTGGAGCCGAGACCAGGTAGAGTGATTTCTAGAGCTTGGTTTACTCTGTCACGTTATAATGTTGCTTGCTAATTTTTAGTCTTTTGTAACACAGATCAAATACTTGACCAGTCTGGTGAACTCTAGCAGTCTTATTCGCTACAGTGTCTTGTATGTTGTATTCAATTTTGTCTTGTAGAATCCGCGCTGCATTTGAAGCGATATTCAAGAGGTCCACTTTACTGCCTGATGTGGAAGGTGGTCTTTCTGACCAGATGGGTGGATTACAACGCAGTCCGTCTATTAATAAAAAAGTTCAATTGGTATGTTATTGAAATTTCTTTAATCAGCGAATATTCTCTCTAATATTATAACTCTAATATTTTTTACGTGTTTGCTTTACATAAATCAAAAATCTATTTGAGATTGAAAAACAAAACAAAAACTGACAACACGGGCAAGACTTTACTTTAATAGTTAAGTGTTAAAGTTGAAATTACATCGCGTGAGTGCATGTATGATTTCGTTGAAAACGTCGATGGCGTGTAGAATACGGTAGTTCAATTGGTTAGAGCAAGTTCAAGTCCCGCCCGTGTACATTTTCTTCAATCTAAAATCTCTTTTCATACTGTAGACTAAGGAAGTGTGCTTTCAAAAACGCTGAGCGTTTGCCAATAGAAATGTCAATTGTCAATATTTTTGCAGCCGAGAGAACGCGTATGTGACATGTCACCGGAAGACCAGAAAGCCTGGGAACAACTAGAGATGGCCAAGGAAATTGACTTCGACAAAATGCTGCAGATTGCTCGACGGCGGGATATGGTAAAGGAAGCTTCCTTTTTAGATTCTCCTAAATTATTTAGTCCATGGATTAACAACTGTCTTTTGTTTTAGAACCCCGATGACACAGACTATGAGGATGAAACATTGTACCTCTGTCACATTGACCCTGCGCCCTTCCAATTGGTTGAGAGGACTTCACTCCTTAAGGTAAGTCAACGGCAATCTAGCAATATTCTCTATATATTTATCTTAACGATATAATATGAATCCGGATCGAAGGACCAAATAGTTTTACCCTATTAGTATAGCAACATATAAAAATTGTATCCTTTGTTCTAGGTGCATTCACTATTCTCAACTCTGGGCGTTAGCAGAGCATATGTTACGGCTATCGGAAGACTTATTGGTGTTGTGGCGCTTAAAGAGGTTAGTTTCTTTAAACCTCATTGGGAATTAAGTGCGAAGTTTTCATTTATAAATGTAATGTTTTAATTATTAACATGTTTTAAAAGGATGACTGACAAGCGTTAGGTTTACTTGGTGGAAAGTCAAAATACCCCACCCATACAACATCTGATGATGCGCTGTTGACTTATTTTGGCTTTCAATATTCTTAAATCCACGGACTGAACCTCTTCGGTTTCTGATTCGTGACTCGGACAGAATTTCGATATTCCTGCCACCAATATAATATCCACATTTCCTAACGAAATCCAACATTTTTTATTATAAATCGATTAGAAACATATTCGACCTGATGGGAAGAATACCCACGGCTCGTTGATTGTTATGCAAACATTGCTACCATTAGACCAACGAACAAATCAAAATTAAATAATTAATACCTCTGTTTAGCTACGCAAAGCGATTGAAGATGTAAATTCGGGAGTGTTGACTCCCGCCACTAGGCCTTCGCCCCCGTCTACCCCCTTGCCGATTATGATCAAGGTGCAGACATCTGAGCCTGCGCCGCCTAGCGACAGTGACACTGCACGACTCACTAAGTCATGTAAGTAATTGGCAAACTAAGTATCATCGATAACAACAAATAAATCACTTTTGACGGTTTAAAACGCAAAATATATTATTTTATCTCTTTCTAACTAGTAGTAAAAATCTTCATCATTTAAGTCATACTTAAACGAATATTTCGCTTTATAAACCGTTGAATGTGTTCTAGTTTTACTTATATATTGTTATATTAAAGTATTACTATGAACTTTGATTACCAAAAATGGTTCTTGTGAGTTAATTTTAAATGTTAGACACATCGTCGTGAACGAATTATGTAAATAATCTATCTATAGTAATAAATAAAGCTGAAGAGTTTGTTTGAACGCGCTAATTTCAGGAACTAGCGCCTCCAAACAATCTCTTCAGCTTTATAATATTAGATTACACTAAATAAAGAGTCCTTTTTTGTTTCAGAAAAGGACAAAAATATAACGAGATATATTTGCTACAGGAGTCGCAAACAAACCGACCATTATACAGTATTTTTATAGTCATATTTTACAAAATGGTGCTTCCGTACGTAGAGAAACCATATATTTACACTTTTAATGTATTTACAATGAATATTTATATATATAACATCGTAAATTTTTAATGTAATTCTAAAGAAAACGAAGCTAATAAAAGATGACGTATCTTTACTATAATGTTTTTAGTATTAAAAAAACACTAGCGGTTTAAAATGCGAAATATTATATTAGTTAAATTAGATTTTTTTTAACGACGGCCTGACGTTTCGGGTGCAACATCAAATAAGATAATTAATACATTTCGCGTTTTAAACCGTTAAAGTGTTTTTATGTGTTACTACAGTGTAAACTACAGACAGTATGTTTACAGTTATTTGTTATACGATTTTCTACGCTAGATGGCAGCATTTAAAATGTTAAAGGTTGTGCGTACATAGTGCGTAAGCGATTCTATTTTCTTGCGGTTGATATGTGATACAAGCCGTTAAGTTATCAAGAAATTATGCGTAAATCTTCGATAGATTACAACCTCTATATAGATCACAAAATGTCGCAGTGATTCTTCATTTAAAAACAATAATCTAGAAATATTGCAATAAAACACGTTAACGGTTTAAAAAGCGACATATAAAAAGCATGGCTGCTGCAAAGAATCCGAAGCGTCGGACGGTAGTAAAAGTAATTTTCAAACAAGTGTAACTATAAAACGTAAATATGTCGTGTTCTAAACCGTTATCTTTTTTATTTAAATGTGTACTACTCGCATAAATTACAGAGAGTATTATTATAACGGCTTGTATCAAAACGTGATTATACAAAATTTTTCAAGGCTTGTGATCATTGTAATCATTCCAAAACGTTAGTTTTAAATTAGTTAACTTAGTTAGACAATGCAATTTGAGTCATTTTTAGGTAGATCTTATCAAATTGTAGTAAGAGATTATATCTATCCTTATTGGGGATATATAAGTATTTAAATGTTTAGAATTGGCCATAGTAACTATGTAATGTGCCATTTTTAGTTGGCGGGCTCGTGGGACTTGGGTTCGATTCCCACCGTGCCAGTTTAAATCCTTATAAGTTTTTAAAATACGTTCGTTCATGTAAGTTCGCGTCACAAACTACGAAAAAGTCGTGGAGTGTAATCCGACGTTTCGGTTGTAGTCTCATCGTTCAAAGCCAGAATAAGTCGACATCGCGATTCCTGATTTGCTTATATGATAGATGGGACACGCGTGAGGTTCACTCGATAGAAGGTGACATACGCCAGCCACATAACATCTAAATGGGATGTGCTATCGACCTATTTTTACTTTATCCATGGACTGAAACCGAATCGCGATTAACATTCACGACCTGGATTTTCCTCACACACATTAAATATCTAGATTTCCAGACGAAGTCCAACATGTTGGAGAAAAATTATAGATTGATTATAAACATGTTCGACCAGGGGTGCGATTCGAACTTAGGACCCGTTGATTATGAGCCATAGATTGCTACCGTTAAATCAACGAATCCGTCAAAATTAAATGTTGTATAGCTGAGATTCAGTTGATGAAAAGTGATTTTCTGTCACAAAAAACACGAAAAGAATAATTTTCCGTATTTTTTTAAGATGTTTATAAAATCTTGTATATTTATAGTTACATTATGTATATTTTGAAGGGGCGTTATGCCAACGAAGCCTTTACAAACGCTTTAAATTCTTTAGCTAGCGAAATGTTGTAACTTAAACTGTATGCCAATAAGTCTTACGTTACCAAAATAAACAGCCTGAAATTTGTAATATTCAGTGATACTTTGTGATTTATTTATAAACTTTATTCCGTACTAAGTGTGCTCGCGACTCCGTTGGCGTAAAATTGTTAGTCAAAATTAGTTTCAGCAGACCTTCCTTCTCATCTTTATAAATAGCCCACGACGTCGTCTGCGTCCCGTCGTACTTGCAAGTTAATCTTCAAAGATAGACGTATAGGTGGCCCGGAAATTTTTTAAGTTAACGAGGTATCATCCTTCCATACAAATGTTTTGGATATCTTCAACCAGAAACTCCCCCCCCCCCCCTATTTTTCACATTTCCCGCTGTGCCTTCGCTGCTATTAGAACAGCGGACCGTTTTCATAGCCCATTAGCCTTCCTCGATAAATGATCTAACCAACACGAAAATAATTTCTCAATTCGAACCAGTAGTACCAGAGCGTTCAAACAAACTATGCAGCATTATATATTAGTATAGAATAAAACACTTAACAAGTTTATACGTTAATTGCGTATAATAATAACGTGTCGTGCTTTAAACTGTTAAGAGCGTTTAACTAACGCAGAAAACTGGATGCATTTTTTTTTCATATTTCGCTAGCTAAAGCTTCGTTTTAAGTATAGTTAATTTATATTAGATTTTGCGTGCATTGATGCTTAGATGCATATCTTTTGTGATCTGTTGCTTTATAATAAATAATGTTGTGCGTTTATTTTGGTTTTATTTATGATTTCCATTTTCTATGGTGGATACCACGTTTGATTCTCGAACAAATGCATATCCGAATAGACTATTAAATTAAACACTTTTACTCGTTTAAAACGCGCAATGCGTAAACTTCCAATAACTTTGGCCCGACATTTTAATGTATTTTTATGACGCTGCGAAACATCTGAACCGTCGAGCCGTAGTTAAAATTAATTTGTAAATATTCACTACTGCTTTACTACTCGCGTAAACTACAGACATTTAAATAAAACTTTGAAGTAGTTTAAAACGCGACATGTATTAGTTAAACATATTTACAAATTATGTTATTTACGGCTCGACGTTTCGGATGCTTTGCAGCAGCCAGTGTTCACAGGGAGACCATGGATACAATACAGTTCGCGTAAACTACAGACAATGCTGACTCTCATAGTTGGCACCCCAATCACATAAAAATAAAATCACACAGTATAGTCACATTAATTTTATTCTCACTAGTTATTTAAACTCTTAGATCTATAATACTAGACTTACAAATTATTTACAATTTCGTTAATATTAAGTACATATTTATACTATTAATTTTAATTGTATAACGAACAATATTTGAAACGATTGTATTCAACTTTACACATCAAAATCAATCAAATGTCTATCTTTTTACTTAGAATGAAGTGCTAGGGCCAGAGAAGCCTAACTGCCATTTTTTGACTTGACGTATTTATATTTTTATAGTCTGAAAATGTTTATCTACCACAGTGGCCAAAAATTGTTAACATAATTTTTACACAAATAGTACAAATTCATTGTCGCCTAAGTCAATTGCGCATTTGTATTCCTCCTCATTGAAAATCGTTTTTGTTTAGGCCACTCTGAATCTTTGAGCCTCATATGTCCGTTGCACTATTTTGTCAATACCAAGACATATTTTTCTCTAGATTTCGAACTTAGAACTTCGCTCAACGAGTTCCACCTACGAATTATAAAGGTTGGTTAGAAGTCATAATGTTCAATTATAAATAATTGCGTAATTAATGTTTGAAATCGCGAAATAGTTGTTGACCTATTCAATATTATCTTTAAATGTACTCAATTCTTAGATAACAAATAACTGATGCAATCTCAAATTGCCTTACAATTCCAAATAAAAATTTCGCACCTCTATAATCATATGAACAAAACATTAAATGTTACTTAATTAAGTTATTAACACAACACAATAAACAATACAATAAATGCAAATTAAATATAGCCAGCTCACACATATTCAAATATACAGTTAATATTGTAATTGAAATAAAGTAAAATATCGCGTTTGAAACGGAAAAGTTAAAAATACCTATATGCCACTCGCGTGAACTACAGACAATACTTAACTCCTACATATGAACGCCAAATCAGTATTATACCTTAATAACTATATAATGTGAGATTTCAATTCTGTAAAATTATAAATAAAATTTCACTAAATTAAGTAGTACAAAGAATGTTGTATCAATTAAAAAAAACAGTAATTATGAGTACAATATAAGTAACACGTCCCACAGCTGGGTAGATTATAACTCTCTCGTAGTAGAAAGATTTAAACTACTCCAGCAGTGGAAATAAAACTTAGTAACATTGTTAAGTTTTAAAGAATTGATACAACACCTCAACAAAGATATAAGCAACACTTACCGACCAGCAGATAATAAGTTATTACAAGGTAACTATCTAAGTTTTAATATCTAACCCAAATGTCAATTGTCATAACACTCGCACTGTGAAAATATTCGAACGAACATTAAACCCGTGACCGGCTTATAAGGATGGCAAGGTATTCTTTGAACTGCGCAGACGCAACAAGGAATCTCCTCTTAAACTTTTCTTTAAAGGTTTGTCTGTCATTATTGAGAAATGGTTGTCGTTGTTTCGTCATCGCGAGATTGTTTTTCAAAGACGATCACCATAGCTTAAATTGACATTGAAAGTTTTATACAATTTGCAAACATAAGTTGTCTAATTTTAATCGGTTTAGAGAGTGAGTTATCAAACGATGTGTACTTAGCGTAAATAACGTAACGTTAAAGATTTATCCGAAACCGAAGTCCACTTCGGCTTAGACCAATGACCGGTCTATAACATTTTGCGCGTACCCGAGCCTTTTCACTCTAATAACACAGTCGTTTAAGTTAGGTAAGTTTTTCCACTCATTCCTGTAATTAACTACACTATCACATGCATCCACAGGATTCCACCACCATGTTCGGTAGCGTTTTTTGCGTCACCGTGTTATTTGAGTCCATATAGAGCAATTGTAGCGAACTAAACGTGGTTGGCGCGCAGCAGGGCTTGAATTCTGCTTTCCGGTCGTTTGACACTGAGTAGAAGTATTTCTGTAAATAAAACCCGATATTACTATAAATAATATTGACTGTTTAATTTTCATACGAATTGGAACCTTATTTGTCATACTTTAGGCGGCAAACGCATCAAATATTGCCTAATTTAAAGTTAACTTCTTTATTTCATTTAAATAAAACACCTTAACGGTTTAAATTATATAAGACGCGCGATTTTAAAACTTTTTTGAAAACTATTTTAACTACGGCGCGACGTTTCGGATGCTTTGGAGGAGTGTTTTGCTTTTTTAAGCTTTTATTATATAAGTATTAATTATATTCAATTGTTTCTTAAGCTGCAAAGCATACAACATTGAATCTTAACACGTACGTATTAAGGTTTAAATTACAATGCGCGAAAGGCGCATGTAACAGTAATTTTAAGAAATCTAACGATGACGTATAGGACACGGCTGAATTGGTTAGAGCAACACGAAACGTTGTGGATCCCGGTTTTGGACCCGACATGGTCGTTAATTTTTTTCAATCAAATGAAAAACAAAGCTTTGAAATTAAAAGGACACAAATCATTTCTTCTATCTTATAGGTATGCAAGGGCATACCTATTCTTATACCAGATTTCTAGATAAGGATCTAGAAATCTGATTATGGATAGTAAATAGAATTTATCCATGATTAAACACTTACTACTTAAAGAATTCAAACTTACCCTAATAATATTATGATGGTAGCTATCCGCTCTCGTAACAGCAGAGATCGGCAAACAAGACCCCTTGCAGAAATACGCATGGTATCCTGCCGGTCTGATGATCCAGTCATCCCACCCTAAATCCTTGAAGCTGATAAAAAGCGGTTCCCTGCAGCATTCGCTTGTATTAGCCCCGCATTCCAGGGTTCTCCCTCGGCGACGCTTACCGGCATATTTCGTGTAGAGCACGAGGAATGGACGGTGTTTCTCGTGGAACGATAGTGGGGCCCGACGTAACTGTAAGTATAGATCATCAGTCTTATAAAGGTGTTTTTTATGGTTTAGTGAAACGAAAAGGTAGGCGAACAAAACACAAACTATTCTTAACAATAAGTCTTAAAGAACTATGTGATAAATTAAATTTGTATCTCAATTACATGCGTACACGACGATTACCAGACGAGATCCAAGATGTTTCAGTAAAATAAATCGATGAGAAACATTTGAAAACATTAATATTTTGCACATGTTATTGCACATGAAGGCACTATATAATTTAAAAATCGAAAATAAATTGAAAAAATTTTCGACTCGGACAGGATTTTTTTTTAAAACGATGAGAAACATGTTGGACCTGGTAGGGATCGAACCCACGACCTGGTGTTTATTAGCCATGCATTGCCACTTAAAACCATTAACTTAATTTTTGAGCCAAAACTCACTTGACAAGTTCTACAAGCCACATGTAGCGTGTGCAGCCGTTCCCTTCCCTCCAGCCAGACCCTGACCGCCCACGCCAGTTCCACTCGGACCCAACCTTCCCCGATGCTCGTCTCCTTGATGGCAATGGGTTTCGTCTTCTTAAACTGCTGCTGGCTGTCCCAGTGTGCTGCTTCCGATATCACGAATGTCTGGTTATATTCATCTAGAGGGTCACGTTCCTGGAAGAGAAGGTGGACTTTAAATGATCTTTAAGATCCTGCAGTTGATGTTACCAGCTGCACATTGAAGAGTAAGTAAAGCATTTAGGTTATCGGCATTTGCAGAATATAAGCTCATGAATACGACTTGTAAATAAAGTTTAAACGTACAAAGTTACCAATTATTAATTCGAATATAAATGTAACGAATAAAACTAAGTTTTACTTGAGAATAGTTATTGTCTGTAGGTTACGCGAGTAGAAAACATTTAAATCAAACACTTTCAACGGTTTAAGACGCGAATTATATGAGATTACTTATTTTTAATTTCTTATAACTACAGCTCGAAATTTCGGATGATTTTCAGCAGTGACCGCGCAGTTCTTTTAAATATTTACCTTATAAAACCAGAGCTCAACGACTGTAACTTCTTCGGGTTCGACATCCGGCGGTAGCTCAAACTGCAAACACGTGAAAGGATATCGCCCTGAAGTCAGACATTCACCTGAAATTAGAGAATCTTGGGTTATTAAGAAATTCGAAAAATAATAAAAAATTCTATACTTTTCACATGTTATTGCACATGATGGCACTATATAAATTAAAAATCGATTTTTAGATTTTATTTTTTTTTATACGACACGGGCAGTGATTAAATCAGCATCCGCTCCGTGCTTCAAAAAATTATAGAAACAATTTTCAAAATAAAAATCGATTTTAAAAATATTTAATGGCTATAATAACCACGAGCGGCGAAAAAGTGACACGCCGTTGCTTGAGGCTTTTTTATATAGCCTTCAGTGTGGCGTGTACTTGAGCTTCTCTGATGATTTCCAACAATAGTATAATAGTAGTCTGTAGTTTAAGCGAGTAGTACACATAAAAACAAACACTTTTACGGTTTAAAGCGTCGACAGAACAGATGGTGCTAGCGTACCAGTTGTTTACTTTGACGTCAGAGACACCCTCCATCTTTAGTTTCCCCGTGACCACGGATACTGCAAAGCATCCGAAACGACGCGGCATAGTTAAAAAAAATATCCAAATAAATTTAAATAATATATATAGCGTTTTAAACCGGTTAAAGTGTTTTATTTAAAAGTTATAATTAGGCCTAAATTTTGATGTGTCGCCAAGACACGCAACACGCCGATACCCCCCCTATCCCCCCCTACCCATAAGTGTGACAGGTAAATTAATTGGCATACATCAATCACTCGATTAAAACGAAAAACAATCACTTACTGATAAAAAGGAACATTCGAAACATAAATATTTATATTAATTAAAAATAATGAGTTGTTTGTCCCGCGATACACTTAGATGTATTTTCCTAAAACATGCGCCTGCGCAATTTACGAATAACTACGAGATGTGGTCTTTAACTTTTACGAACTTAAATTATACGTTATCTATACTATATAAAGACATATTATATACTGTATGTATATAATATGTCTTTAGGGTCATCTAGCGTTGACAAGGCATAGAATTTTATTGTAACTTTCTTTAAATGGCTTTAATACTTGAGATTATTATTATATTAACCAAAAAATACAGTAAAATTGAACCGTACCCCATATATGCCCCCCCCCCCTCCCCTTATTTGTTTATTATTATTTTTTGATTGTTGCAACAAAAAATATATTATTTTATTTAAACTCCACCTAAAGTGGTTCTTGATATATGAGTTAGCCTGATAGCGCAGCATATTTGTAGTAGTAGACAACTTATTGTCATTTACGCGAGTAGTATACATTTAAATTAATCACAATTAACGGTTTAAAACGCCAAATATATTACTTAGTTGTTTTTAATTTAATTTAGTACGAGCTCGACGTTTTGGATACTTTGGAGCTACCATAGTTACTGCGGGAAAGTCCCTTTATGACCAGGGCTGTTTAATCTATATATTTCGTTTTAAACCGTTAAAAATGTTTTATCTTATTAACAATATGCAAAGACAAAATACTTGACAGTACATCTTGTCTCTTATATGGCTGATTTATTTCACCTTTCACTAGATCTTTGCCATAAAAAACCATGCTAAAAGTTACTCGTCCAAGCAAAGTCGCGAGAGATAACTAGTTATTATTATCACGCATTGAACTCGTGCTAAGGTACGTCTTGATACACAAGTTAGAGATAAGGTTTCGCGCAAACTATAGTAAATACGGAACCGTTTAATTTAAAGCTAAATTAAATACTCTCTGTAGTTTACGACGGTAGTATACATTTAAATAAAAAACTTTAACGGTTTAAAACGCGATATATATTCGTTGAACGTCTCCCCGTGACCACGGCCGCGGCTCACAGCCCACGGACGCGGTCTGGCCGTAGTTAAAATAATTTCCAATAAGTTTAACTAATATATATCGCGTTTTAAACCGTTAAAGTTTTTTTTATTTTAATAGCTAAATTTATACACGACGTTTTAACATATTAATTTTTAAAGTGCTGTCCCCTTTAGAGCATGGGGCGAACACACACCGATTTTATGTAAATGCTCAGAATTCTGTACTTTGCCCGAGCAACTCTTTTCGTGCGTATGGCTAATATTCAACGGGTCGAGATCATCACGAAGTCCATGTTTCTTATCAATTTGTTCGTTTCCTCAACTTTGGACTTCGTTTGGAAGTCTGGATATTAAATGTCGTAGTACAAATATCGTTATTTTGCCTGTTACGTACCACAGATGAAAAATGTGAAATTTATTCGCGTTCCGGTTTTAGTCTGTGGTTTATATCCAAAGCCAAAATAGGTCGACAGCATATCCTATTAGGATCTCCTTCCATCAAGTGAACCACGCTTGCCTGTCCTTTAAAAAGTGTGAACTTCTAGTGTTCGCTACGGACTTAAATACAAATATTTGTTGAACGGAATAACGGTACTGTTTTCTGATTAGTGTTTATCTCGCTTGGCCTCTCCGACGCTCCTTGCTCTAATTAACGGCGGGTCAGTGTGTTCATAGACCCCGAATAATTAAGATCTTTCGTTAATTGAGCCATAAATTTTATGATGTTCATAATTACGAAAAAGGGAGTTCCAAAAACACGAGGAAACGCATTTTAATACCGCAATATTTAATTTAAAATGTTGTTTAATTTATTGAAATCTATCAATCAATTAACACGTCCTTTATTTATATTAGAGAAGGAGAGACAACTTGAAGGTAGATACAATACCCCAGTCATATAACACCTTGACAAGTCTATCGATCTATCTTGCCTTTGGATGTTGCACATTGTTGGCACATTGCTACTATTAACTTACGAGGCTGTCAAATACTAAATAAAACAAAAAACGATTTCATGAGCGAAATTTATAAGTGGTTTGAATTAAGGCAAAATAGTCGGCGCTAGGGCAGTCGATCTTTAGTTCCCTGCTGCTGCGAATCTGCGATACTTCGGATCGGATATCAAAACAAGATAACTAATATATTTTACGTTTGAAACTGTTTAATTGTATATGGAACATACTTTATTGTTTTAAAAAAATCTGTTTTCTTTGCGCTTGCGCGTACATAAATAAACCCTTTTTTAATAAAAATGGTAATAGAAGGAACAAAGTAAAAGTTATAATTTGTGCGCGAAGAAAGTAAGTGTACAAAATTACATTTGTAAGTTTCCACTTGTTTTTTCGAATCTAATCAAACTTTAAGGATTAATTAATAATTACTTTTATTTATAAATATGATTAAAAACAAAAAACGGCTAAGTGCGAACCGGAATTCCACCCGAATGGTTCTGTACCATTGACTAGGTATACAAATTTCGTATTGCAACCAATTTTAGTAATTTCTACCCGATGTTTATTGATAAAACAAATATTCGCCAAAAAATTGTATTGCCATCCTGTAAAATATTTACATAAACCACTTTAACGGTTTAAAACGCAATATATATTTGTTAACTTATTTAAAAAAATACCACGGCCGCGTTTCGTTAGCCTTGGGCAGTGGTCACGGGGAGACATGGTTTAACTAATATATATCGCATTTTAAACCGTTACAGTGGTTTATTTAAATGTGTACTACTCGCGACGGTGTCCCCTAAAGTATTTAACTTGTTTATAATATAAAAAACAAAATCAAAGTTGGTCGACCCCCATACTTCCTCCTCTGTCATCGATAAAAGACAGAAAACGTATCCAAATCGTTTAACCATTTGGTACGGACTCTAAAAACACCATACCCATTTGATAAAGTAATTAACACCAAATGAGATTAAAACAATCGAAAAAAATAAATTCACAATTGATAAAATCGTCGTGATATTGTTTCTTATCACTTGACGTGGATCTGTCGCGTCGCCGGAAATAGATCCAAATTCAATTGATTATGATATTTTTATCTACTTACTCGTGACCTTGATAACTTGCAACAAATAATGTTTACAAAGCCTATACACGATTTATTGATGGGATTTAGATACCAAGTTGGTGTATTGGTAGCAATGTAAATATATAAACACCAGATTAAAAAGCCGTGAAGTTTAATCTCGGCTCCGTCGGACCGGACGGAATTCGGGTATTCCTATCAACCGTTTAATATCCAGTTTTCCAGACGAAGTCTAACATGTTTCAGAAATAATGAATCGTATACGTTATAAGAATCGAACCCATGACCTTCCATTCCTTTGCTACTTTACCACTAATCCTGGGGTATAATTTTGATTCATTTAGGTTTTAATTTTCTTGCACTTTCTTTATCTTTTATAATTCGCTGATGTGGCGCCTAATATGTGGGTATTAACCAATTTGCATTTATTTAAAGACGGTGACCTCACCTTGTAGATAGTAGTGATAAACAGCAATAATTAAGCGAGATTAGTATTTCAACGAAAAAATAAAAGAGCTAAGTAATAAGTAAGTAAGTAGTAAGTGCTAAGTAGTAATTAGCACTAAAGATATTTACAGGTCGAATACACTTAAGAGCAATTAAAATAAAATAACTACATTTACGAAGGAAAGCACAATACAATATTTACTTAATAAGATACAGAAGCTCTGTAAAATATATCGATATTTTTATTATTAATACGAGGATGCATTGTCGCCCTTTTTACTTTTAAAAATATAACCAGGGGATATATTCAAGCAAGCATGCACTGAATGAAGGAAAGTTCGTATCGGAGATTTAACGGTTTTTATAAGTGTCCCAAAATAGTTGCTCCCGAGTGTATGTTGAATTACAACACTCAATTTGGTGGACACTCAAAATAGGCGGGCAGCGCATTAAGGGTTAAAGGGCTAAGTCATTCAATTTCCATCCAGTGCTTGCCTTTTTTCACTAGTTCAGCTGTTTTATTTACAAAAAGTAATTAATGACACTGCCTCGTAAGATCGAATTTATCCCGGAATTCAAACTTTGGTCCTGAGGATACAGGACCAAAGTTTGGTCCGGTCCCTAAATCTAAGTAATCTTAGGTAAGTTGATTCTTCTTATAAATAGTATATAACTAATATGCAATATTAAAACATACATTTTACATCCACCATTGGTTA